AAAAAATCTTCAAAGAAAACTTTTCATTTTATTTTATTTTTTTATTAGAAGGAAATGAAATTAAAGTAGATCACTATGTTTAGTTAAAAAAAAAACAAAAAAAAAAAACTAAACTAAAATTTGAGTTTTATAATAAAATAAATCATGAATTTTTAATTTTTTTCAATTTTTTTTACCCATTAAATTCAATGTAGATATATATAAAATGTCTAAAATATATATTTTTTTCATTGAATTTAATGATTAAAATATTTTTTTAATCAATTTTACCTAATGAAAATTGATGGGTCGTTACATACACCAAAATTGAACACTAAACTATACCAAATTCTTTTAGAATAATGGCAAGTTCAAGTATCGATCCACAGGAACAATTGTGAAATTAAACTTATTTAATTGCTAAATTCCTATATTAATTTTGATTAAAAAGATTGGTGGATATTATGACTAAACAAGAATTAAATGAAACTGAATAATTAAATTGATAATTAAAATTAGGGTTTGAGATATAAATTTTTGAAAAAAATCCTAGGGCAAATAATTCACCACTAACCACATAACATTGGCCAATAATTGCAATCCAGTTTGAAATACCTAGTATTTCACAACTACAAGTTTGAAATATTGTTCAAGAGGGTTGTTGCATTCAACGTATAGACACGAATTATCCTGAGTAGCACGAGGCGTTTGCTCTAAACTATGGTAGCAACACGACTCGTCTCTCGTAACATGACTCGTCTCGTATTTTGAACACAAATACAAAGAAAACTAATGTATGGAAAGTATTAGACAATCACAGATAGTAAAATACTTGAAGAGATGAAAGGAGCAATTATTAAAAACTTCTAAATTGTTCATACATTGATTCAAACTGATTCATAATCAAAGCCTATGAAAAATTCTATTACATAGGTAGGGTTTCATCAAACCCTAGAATTGGAGGACTAGCCACTCATGGAAGAGTGGGAAGATGAAGAGGAAGAGGAAGAGGAAGAGGAAGAGGATGAGGAAGAAGCCCCCATGGAAGTTATCCTTGAAGAAGATCACTCTCTTGAAACCCTAGTCTTCCTTTTTTTTCAAATAATTTTCGGACCCTAGTCTAGCCTCCCTCTCTTCTTTTTATACCTGTACTGTCTTTCAAACAAGTTTAAAACACCGGGCCTGTTTTTCGAGGTACGACTGCACGTGCGGGAAGAGTCAACGCACTTGCGGGAAAACCCTTCACACGTGCGGAAAGTTGGGGCCCTGTTTGGCTGTGAGGTAAAGGCCGTACGTGCGGGAATAGGCCTCCGCACATGCAATAAGCTTTTTTCTTTCCAAATTCTGTATTTTTGTCCATTTTATACTCCGACTATGTACAACCTGATTGACATTAAATATACATAAAATATATAGTTTCACAAGCAAGTAAAGTTAAGAGATCCTAATTAACAACCTCAATGTTGCATAATTTGGCCTTAATAAAAAATAGACAAATGATTTAGATTAAAAATAAATCAAGAATTTAGACGGTAAATTGACAAAATTAAAGATTCAAAATTTATTTTGTTATAATAGTTAAATCTTTAAAAAAATATATTTTTAATTTTTTTGTATTTTTCTCAAAAAAAAGAAAGTATGTGTCACGACCAAAACCCGCCTCTATAGGTTTAATGTCGTAACCGGTTAGTAATCCAAGATTACCAAAGGCCTTTCTATACAAATGAAAATAATCGGGACTTGCGGAAGCTTATAACATAAAGATAACAAATAGTCCATTGAGTTGTGTATTTATATGCACAAATGTAGATGTATATAAATATTAATTTACCCACTGTACAATACATACATAATATCATGTACAAAACTTTCATCAACATATATATCAAGTCAACAAACTTCTAGGACGCTCACCTATACATATATATACAAACAGTGAGCTATAGCCTAGTGAATAATATTAAAGTAAAAAAGTTAGTGAACGAATTCCATACATGTCATATACATAAAACATAATATGACATGTATGGAATTCGTTCACTAACCTCTTTATTTTAGTATTATTCATTGGGCTATAGCTCACTGTTTGTATATATATATATATATATATGTATAAGTGACTGCCCTAGAAGTCAAGCCTAGAAGGGTTCCTTAGCTAAGCCACTTGTTGAAGCCCTACTGAGTTTTGGTGCCTCCAAGTTAAGGCTAGGTTTAAAAGACCGTTGGCAAGTTTTGTGCTTTTGATATGGAAGTTTGTTGACCTGTATAGCCAAGCTTCCTCTACTTCACTTTGCATTCTACTTGGGTGCTGCTCGAGTGGCCTGGTACACCGCACGAGTGGCCAGGCCACCGCATGTGCAGTCTGTAGGGCAATTTTTTGTTTTTTTGTTTTCTTTTTGTTTTTCAGACTTCCGGGCCTCTATTAGAGACTAAAAGAAGAAAGAAGAAAAGAATAGAAAGAAAAAGAACAAAAGGGAAATTAAGCTAAATCTTCACCAAATCAACCATCTAAGGTGAGAATTTTCTTCTAATTTCTTGAATCTAAGTTGTATCCTCCATGAAATCATAAAAGCTAAGTGGAATTTAGGAATTGGGTTGATGTTAAGAACCCTAAAGAGAAGATTATAGGAAATAGCTTACCCACGCCTCGACTTTCAAAGGTTCAATGCCGCTCTGGAGGGTTGGCGGCTTCATTTTGTTGAACTTCTGTGTAAGAGTAATGATATCATCATTATTTAGCTCCATTTAGCCTGGAGGTGGCGGAGGAGGTACGAGTTGTTGCCTTTGCTCTTGTTGTTGTCTCATTAGTTTAGTTAAAACTTCCACCATTCTTTCGAACTTATCTATTCTGACATTAGAAGATCATGACTCATCTACATTTCTTGCGTTCTCTATTGGTATATATAAGCATGGGAAATGATAAACATAAGAAATTTCATGTTCATATAAGTCACCTAGCGGCCAAGGCCACCAAACGTGCTGTGTGCAGGGCAATTTCTTCGATTTTGTTTTCTTTTTGTTTTTCGGACTTTCGGGCCTCTATTAGCATTGGTTTTCACATGTTTTTCACATGCATTCGCATATCATGAGCATCAAATAAATGAGAAAACGAATTGAACAAAACAAATGAACAAGTAGCGATGAACTAAACCAAATAGGAGTAAGAACTAACGAAATAAATTGAATGTGTTGAAGTGTTGTGCTATGAATGTTTGTGTTTGTAAGTCAAGACTTGAAGACCGAGCAACCGGTTTTGGAAGCTCACTGTGAGTAACATTTCTGTAAAGATATGTTCATATGAATTATATCAAGAATCCATGCATATATTAAGTTCTATAGTTAAACTCCATGAAATTTCTCCCCAAATTTGAGGAACTATGCAAGAACCAACACACGGGGACCTAAATTTGATTTGTGACATAAGAAGACAAGTTTGGAGGACCAAACTTCCTGAGGTGGGGATAATGTAATGACCCAAACATGCATCTGATTATTTAGTCATCTAGTTGCATTGTTATGTGCTAATTGATTTCATGTTTGATAAGAAATTGACTTTGCATTGTTATGTACTAATTGATTTCGTGTTTGATGAGAAATTGACTTTATATCTAGATGACAAAATAATCATATGCATGTCCGGCTCATTACAATATGGGCTTGTTTTGTCTCTTAAAACATATTTCTGGTGTTAGAATTTTATAAAACGAAATTTCAAAATCACTTTTCTCTGTACAACACATATCAATCACTTTTTATTTCACACCAATTTATTCAACTTAAAAAAATCAAATTACTTCGAATTTCAAAACTATTTTCAAAATATACAATCAAACAAATTTTTAAATTTTCTAAACTCTCTTCAAAAAATTATTTTTAAAATAATATCTCAAAACACAAACCAAACAACGCTTAGAGTATGTCCAACGTTTCATCAAATCTGTTATAGAATTCAAATTTGATGAAAAATGCCTAAAATGTGAGTTCCAACTCTTTTATCAATTGATATCAAATAAAGGGAGAGTTAGTGTTTGATAACATGATTAAACACTTAAAACTAAATTGATTAAGTGATAATCAATTAAGCCCGTTTAATAACTATAATTGATATCACTTAAAAATTTAAGTACCACTTAAAATATAAGTTAAAATTTAAGAAAATTTTAAATCATATAAAACTTACTTAATTCTAACTGAATTTATAAATATTAAACATTATTATCAATATATACTATTATAAACTCACTATCACCACAAACCACTACCACCATGCCATCTCCACCGCCACTACCACCACCATCATGTCACTATCACTACTACCACTACTACCACTCTCACTACCACCACCACCATCATGCCGTTGTTGCCATCATTACCACCACCACTACTACTATCACCTTCATCCATTTTCATTATTGACATAAACATCACTATCATTTTACTACTACTATAATTGTTACCATCAACGCGACGCCATCGCCACCACTACCACTACAATCACCACCACCGCTACTAAGATCATCACAATATAAAAAAATAAAATATACAATTTAAAAATAATACATTTCAAATTTTATCTTACACATATTAAACAATTTATTTTTAATTTAGCACTTAAATTCCTATCAAACAACTTTTTAACTTAAAAATATTAGTATTCAGTTTTTAATACTTAATTTTCAATCTTCAATTTTTAATTTTTAATTTTATCAAACATTATCTTACTTTGTTCATTAAATTAAATTAATTTTGTATTTTCATCAAATTTATAAGTGACTGTTAAGCTGGATAATCTTTGCAAAATTGTCCATAAAACAATTTACACAAATTCATCAATCATATCCGGCCGTTCGTTTTTCCGATCAATTGATATTCTGATAAAAAAAATACAAATTATTCGTTAAAACGTTTGATATCATTTACTCAAATTTAATAATAATTAAAAAAAACGAAAAAGAAAAAGAAAAGTAAACCGTGGTAATGCTCTTATAGAGATATCTTAAAAGAAAATTCTTCATTTTTTTAAAAAATTATTTTTTGTATTTTGATTGAAGAGAACTGAAATTCCTCAATTTCAAGTCCTGGTTCAAAGTTCACCACTAATTCCCTTTGATATTTTTCAATCTCAACCCCCAAATCTCTTCTCGAATCTCACCTAGGGCTTTTCATCTCCCATCCAATAAGGTTTGCTTTCAATTGCATCTTCTCCATCCAATCATTGCCAACATCTCATTCCATTTCTTGATTTCACGATCTAACGATTCTGTGAATCTCAGTTTCTGTAGATCTCGTGACTTCAGCTATGGCTATGATCGATGAGCCTCTGTATCCGATCGCGGTTCTCATCGATGAGCTCAAGAACGAAGACATTCAGCTGAGACTGAACTCGATCCGCCGTCTCTCTACCATCGCTCGTGCCCTAGGGGAGGACAGGACCCGGAAGGAGTTGATTCCGTTCTTGAGCGAGAACAATGATGATGATGATGAAGTACTCCTCGCGATGGCTGAAGAATTGGGTGTTTTTATTCCCTATGTGGGTGGGGTTGAGCACGCGAACGTGTTGCTTTCGCCGTTGGAGACTCTGTGTACTGTTGAAGAAACTTGTGTGAGGGACAAAGCGGTTGAGTCGTTGTGTAGGATTGGGGCTCAGATGAGGGAGCAGGACTTGATCGAGTCGTTTATTCCGTTGGTGAAGGTGAGATTATTGATTTCATGAGTTTGTTTGATTTTGGGTATTTGCTTGTTTCGCCAATTGGGTTTTGTTTTTTTTGGGTATTTGCTTGTTTTTCCAATTGGGTTTTTGTTGGAAAATGCTTTTAACTTATACTTTGGCAATTAGAAACTCATAGAAAATGTTGTTGGACTTAAAAAGCACTATACTTGCAAGACTTGGTTGATTCATTTATTCCGTTGGTGAAGGTTAGATTATTGATTTTTTGAGTTTGTTTGATTTTGCGTATTTGCTTGTTTTGCCAATTGGGTTTTTGTTATTTGGGTAATGTTATGGTAAAAGCTTTTAACCTATGCTTTGGCAATTAGAAACTCATAGAAATGGTTGTTGGACTTAAAAAAGCACTATACTTCCATGTAATATCTGAATGAAATATTTTCATTTGCAAAGAACTTACTGGATGGCTTAGAACATTGGGAAATTGAGAGGAGTATTTGAAGTCACAAAGAACACCGGTTGTGTTAGGAAATCGACTCTTCCTAACAGGATCAATGAGACACAAAATACCAAACAAGAAATATAAAACGAATCAAAGAAATCACACACACAAACACAAAGATTTATGTGGTTCACTCCAGATAGGGTTATGTCCATGGCTGTTGTGGTTTTTACCATGATCATAAAACGATAACAACACTCTACAGAAAAGAGGCGCTCCCTGTACCCTTCCCTTTGGGGAGGGCCCCCAATCCCCTCCATTGGACCTAGGGCCCAGCATATAGTACTTATCAGAGTTCACAAGACTCAACATGTTGCATCTCCAACTTTTTGATACATTCAAAGGATATAGATTGATTATAAAGAACAGTAGGGAAGAGAATAAGACAAAGTGCTTTTGTATGTAAAAGCAATCCATGCAACGGAATTTGAATGTTTGCGATTCTCCTAAGGGAAAGAACCAATGCCTGTTCTTGTTTGATGTCAATTGTTAGTTATAGGTGTCGCATAATGCTGTTGGTGAGCTCTACAGATGGTCTAAATCATCTCACCTTGAATACTTTATATATGCTTGTTAACCAAATTGGCTTGGCTGCTGTGCCATCTATTTGCTTTGTTGCATGAGGCTGCTTATTCAATGTCTTTCTGTGATTCCCATGCCTGGCCTCCGAAAGGTTGCATGTCATTATGGCATGCTAGATATGGGTATGCTTTGGTGACCTAATTTTATTCTTTGCTTAGAATAGTCTGATTTGCCATATTTCCCTTGACAGTCTTTATTCATCTTAATGTTTGTTTTCTTAAAATCTGGAAAATGTGGACAATTGGACCACACCCAAAGAGTTTATGCCTTTGGGTAATTAACAAAGAACTAGGACAACGGATTTCCAAAGCTAAATTATTGACTTGTTTGATTTTTATGTTCTCTGGTCTATTATATGTCTAGTACACAGGATCTTCAACACAAACATACAGTTTTGTTTAATCGTAGTTATGTTACAACGTTAATATCCCTTCTTCACACCATGCACTTTACAACATTCAGAGACTGGCTTCCGGCGAATGGTTTACAGCTCGAGTTTCATCGTGTGGATTATTTCATATTGCTTACCCAAGTGCCCCAGACACATTAAAGACTGAACTACGAACAATATATAATCAATTGTGTCAAGATGACATGCCCATGGTGAGGAGAGCTGCTGCAACAAATCTGGGAAAATTTGCTGCCACTATTGAAGCTGCCCATATGAAGAACGACATCATGTCAATGTTTGAGGATCTGACACAGGATGGTAAATTGATTTCGCATATGCTTTAGTCCTCTCTCTTTGATAATTAAATGTTGGTTTTAGATTTCACATTTCTGCTGATACAGATAAATTTCAGTAGATGGATTCTTGACACAGAAAAATTCTGTATCAATTCTTTGGGCTTCAGATTTTGTGCATATGAGAATGAGCATCCTAATGACCTTCCAAAAGAACCAAAATTCCTGTTCTTTTACACGCCTGAACCTGAAAAGTTTGAGAAGGCTAGAAGTAATCTTCCTTTGTGATCATTAAGAGTTCACCGCATCGCTTCTTAACCTCGGTTACCTAACAACCATTGATGTTAATTCTGATATTCCCCTTAAAGCAGACTTCAGTGAGCTAGTGCAAACTTTAGCGTTATCCCATGAAGAAGTATCTTGGGTTTCAAGTCAAATTCAAGACAAGAGGCAATGATTTCTTTGAAATTCTTTCAGCCTTTTCTACTTGTGCAACTTCATCATTGAAAATTCAAAATGGGACATAAGCTTTTTTAATTAACTAACTTCTGTTAATTTGAATGTGAAGTGAATAGAGAATTAAATGATAAATTGCCTTTCTTTTCTAATAGATTCGCAAAAGATGATTTTTTATGAAGTTCAGAATTTGAGAGGGAACAAATGGAATCCCAGTTAAAGGAAACAACTAAAGGGCTTAAGATGCCAAGCAACACATGAATAATTGTTTCCTATTTATCTCTTCGTTTAAATAGAGTCGTATTCTGGATTGGTGGCTTTGTTAGGTTCTCTTTCTTGCAAATTCTTGTAGTTAATATTATTATTGTTTATTTTTTATTTTTTTGTAGTGTAAAAACATATGTTTTCTACCTTCTAAATGGTTATTATTTCTAGATTTTATGGTCATTTGGACTTTGTTAGTGCCTGGAGTTTACTGAGCTCTGATTAATTTAATTCAAAAATAAGGACCGGAAGGTCCGGGGACAGTAAGTCTTCTAACTCAAGTTTAAGCTGAGTAAAACTTGCTTGGTTTGAATACATGTGCCATTTACAAGAAGTATGTGACCATTGAGTGAGGTTTTTTAGCATGGAATGCTTCAGTTTGCACTTTGTGGATATAAGTGCGAGTTTTTATTTTTGGATGAGCTTCAAGAGCTAATAGTCTGGTGCTTTTAACACTGACATAAAAATATGTGACTTTATCAGTTTGATCACCTAACTTTGTTAAAACATGAACTTGATTGTGGGATCCCTTATTCTTCTATAATATAGGAAGAATTGTTCAGTCAACTCATATTTATGTATGTGTAGTCCACAACATAAAGTCCTATTAACTGTTTTTTGATCTACAAATGAAGATAAGTTGTGCATTTTTTATTGATTCGATTTTTATACTTAGCTATTTTAGAAATCAGACTAAGAGGTTCATTATTTCTTATAAGCCACTGCTTTGTTTTGTTTCAGATCAAGATTCTGTTCGGTTATTGGCTGTCGAGGGTTGTGCAGCTCTTGGGAAGCTGTTGGAATCCCAAGATTGTGTAGCACATATTCTGCCTGTGATAGTTAATTTCTCTCAGGTAAGTCCATCATGTTTTCATATGTTATATAGCATATTTTTAATTCATGTCATTCACTTTTCATTATTATTAGTATTTCATAATGTATTCTCAGTTCACTTATATCATCGGATAGCCCTGTTCTTATCATGGACAATATGGCGGTATGTGACTTGTGCTTTGCTAGGATTGTGATGTGCCTGGATTATTGTAGAGAGCTTGTGCAAGTTTGAAATCAAAATAATTTCATCTGTTTCCTAGGAAAAGCAATGGCATACTAAGATGATAGCACATCCCAAAACAGTTGATGGCCTTCCCTCTTACGGTGTATCTCTTCCATTGGATCACAAGATGATAGCACATCATATATATTCAATGAGGATGGCAAAGGATGGACAGTAGAATCTTCCTTTTTTAATGAATAGTGTGCCACATCCTTACCTTTCCACTTCTTCACCTCTTCCCATTCATTAGGCTTTACATCCCTTTTTTCCTTCTTAGGTCTCCATTCTTGTTTAGGCAAGGAGGTAGAACCCACCCTATGGCTTTGATTTCTAAAGACAAATTTGTGGCATGACCATAGACCTTGCAATCATCACAATTTTAAGGTCTCCGTGGTACCTCCACTTGTATTGCATAAGACTCACCGTAGCCTAAATTCAATATGAAAGACTTTGGTATATCTGAAATAGCTTGAACTTCGACATACACCTTTGCAAAAGTGTACCAAATAGTGCTAGCCACATAGATCAACCCTTTATTCATACAAAGCTCTAAGGGGATATGCTGTAGTACATTTCTAGGTACTATATTGTTGTATATCTGATGTGATTTATTTTTCCCTGAACAGGATAAATCTTGGCGGGTTCGTTATATGGTTGCAAATCAATTATATGAGCTATGCGAAGCAGTAGGTCCAGAATCTACCAGGTATTTGTGGACATGATAAATCACTCATTTTTTTTGTTATGTACTAACTTATTTGTGTTGTTGGTATTTTTGACTATTCTTTGTTTCCCTTTCCCCCTTATGGATGGCAATGGGGGTTAATGGGGTGGATATTAATTCCTCATCCCCATTCCCCTATAATAAATTTTCTCCATTCCCCATTCCCCATGGGTACCACCCTCCCCATTTCCTAATGGGTTTGGATTTTCCCCAACCCACTTTAATCCTCATTTTTATTTTTTATATTTAATGTTAACAACCTTTTTTTTTTAAATGTTTACAACAAAAACTAAATATACCTTCAATCTTTTTTTTTTTTACTTATTTGTGTTGTCGGTATTTTTGACTATTCTTTGTTTCCCTTTCCCCCTCTTTTTTCTCACCTTGTTTCGAAATCCGTTGGATTAATATATCATTCCATGATCTTGTTGCTGATCCAAAATAAATAAGTAAATAAATTAGTAAAGCATTCCATGATCCCTATTTTAAACGTTGTCAAACTAATTAGTCTGCCCTTTGCATAATGTTGCTGTTATGACTTCTACTTGTGTGCCCATTGTTGTTCATTGAATTGTTACGTATTTAGACTGATGGTTGCTGTGATATTCTTCAGAACAGACTTGGTTCCTGCATATGTTCGACTTCTTCGAGACAATGAGGCTGAAGTGCGTATAGCCGCTGCAGGAAAAGTAACCAAGTTTTGTCGAATTTTGAACCCGGAGCTTGCAATTCAACATATCCTTCCTTGTGTGAAGGTATACATGCATATGCATTGCAAAAGTTTATTTGTTTCGAAATGTTCTTGTTGGTTTATGTAGTTATTAAAACTTAAAAGCTGCTTCTCCATTATTGTTTTCTTGTGTGCACCTCAAAGTTGATAAATATAATAATTTTTCTTGCATTCTGTAGGAACTATCATCAGATTCATCCCAGCATGTACGTTCTGCTTTGGCATCAGTTATAATGGGAATGGCGCCAGTTCTAGGGAAGGTGAGAACCTTAGATAGTTAGGTATCAAGAACATATTTGCTTACCTTCACTTCAGGCGTACATGCATTTGAAATGTGTTAACATGTTGCGCACCATTGGAATTTTCATGTTTGCATATCATTGGTGGTCTGTGAATTCTTAGTTCTAATAATTATTTCTGATTCTGAACTCCACTTTTTCTTTTTATCTTTTTCTTCTTTTTTTTCCCCTGTCAAATCCAGATATTTTTCATGTTTCTTATTCTAAAAATTGAAACATGTCACCTGCAGTTTCTTGGTTTCCATTATCAATTACATGTTTAGCTACTCCACGAAGTTGAGCTCCCCCTTGCCTGAGTGCTATTTTGATAAAATATGTATATATATATATGTATGTATATATATAAGGAGGAAAAGAATTTGCTTCACTTGTGATATCACAAGATTTTGAGCTTCTCTGTTGTATTTTTCTCATTTCAAATCTTCAAGTGACCTTCAATATTTCTCTCTATTGGTGATTGCAGGATGCAACAATAGAGCAGCTTTTACCAATCTTCCTCTCTCTTCTGAAAGATGAGTTCCCTGACGTTCGACTGAATATTATCAGCAAGCTTGATCAAGTGAATCAGGTCAGTTAAGATCGCTATATTCCACTTAGCTTTAATGTGTTCTATTTGGTTTTTGATCCATGGTTCATTTTCTTCTTCCTCTAATTGTAATTGTCGTGCAGAAGTAGTCTGATTAATGTTGCTCATCATATGATCTTACATACAGGGTCAGAAATCATTTTTATGGTGCAAAACTTGTAGTCATGAAAATAATATGATCTAACAGAATGTTGCCCGGTGTTCTTGTTTTTTATATCCTTTTGAACCAATTTCAAGCTAAATCCGTGCCTACATCTTGTAAGTTATGATTTGTTGAGATCACAATGGTAGATAATGAGAAAACTTGCCAAAATCAAGCTCTTTCCCCCAAATATTTCCATTTCCAGCCACTCTGCTGATCTCCTTCAAGAAAGAAGATGAATAAATGTGCTATAGTTGGTCAATTGAGGAGATATTTTTTTTCTAATAACAACTATGGCACCGACCTTTCTATCAACAACTAATTTTTGGGATTCTAAGGGATGTGTGTGCATAGCCCTTAAAAATGCTTATTTTTGCAATTGCCACTTGGAGCAAGGTTTTTGTTGCATAATTCTCAATGCTTTCAATCTTTAGTGTAAAATTATTTAAATGAACTGCTTTCTGGTGAGTTGTCATAACATTTTATATTTTCTCTACTTGATATATCCTTTTCATGTAGGTCATTGGAATTGATCTACTATCCCAGTCCCTGCTGCCAGCAATTGTTGAACTTGCAGAGGATAGACACTGGAGAGTTCGTCTTGCAATAATAGAATACATACCATTGTTGGCAAGTCAGTTGGGTGTCGGGTTTTTTGATGATAAGCTTGGTGCTCTTTGCATGCAATGGTTGAAAGATAAGGTTTGTGAAATGATTTAATAGAATACCCGCCTTGATTGGTGATTCGTCTAGGTATAGGTTTTTCATTTAATGATAGGCTGAGTCTCTTTGCACGCAAATTTCATGAGACAAGGTTTGTGAAACTTCATATTGAGTAATAATCACATGAAATTTGTATCTCTTTTTTGCTTGATTGTTTTATTCTCATGTACAGGTCAAATAGTGTGCATACTAAACCCAATATGCTAATATACTTTAGTTCCGTTCCTTGATTTTGTCACCAGCTTTCTTGTCCCTCTAATTTCTTTCCTTTTTTTTTTAACCCCATCCTGTTTTGTTTGGTAAGCAATTTGTGTACTGTACAAATAACATACTATTATTAGAAAAAGCAGTATCTAATATTGGATAACAGATAAGCATTGAGGTGGTCATTGGAAGATTTGATTTAAACACATCAAGTTGGAGTATATTGGAAAATTTAGAGGAAGTTCATATAATATAGCAAGTGAGAGAAATGGAGGTATTCTTACGAACTATTCCAGGAACATACTATGTTAGAAAAAGTAGTATCTAATATTGTGTAACAGAAAAACATTGGGGTCCTTGGAAGATTTGATTTAAACACATCAAGTTGGAGTACATTAGAACATTTGGAGAAAGTTAATAATATAGTAAAGGAGAAAAATGGAGGTATTTCTAAAAATCTATGAGGTGGGGACCTCATGAAGTTAAGAAAGGACATTACCCATTCTTGATCCAAACCAACCGAGTGCATTGGGAGAGGTAAGATTGGAATTATACCTAACCTCTGACAATATTTGCGCAACATGGCTCCTGTCAGGATCAGGACTCAAATTCTAGGAGGATAACCAAAATTTAGGATAAATATATGTTCTCTATAGAGATTTTTCTGCCACTTAGTTCACATCTTGAGTTTACTGTGAGAATCTTGTGATTCCTTTACAATTGTTCCTTCGGCATTTGATTGGTGTCTCACATCAGTCTGTCAATATCTTCTAAGCGATTAACATCATGACTTTTTTTTCTTTTCTTTGATGAGTAATTAACATCTTTGATTTTTTAATATACTTTTGCTAATTTTAGTGGGTATGCTGTAGGTTTACTCTATTCGAGATGCAGCTGCTAATAATGTGAAGCGCCTTGCAGAAGAATTTGGTCCAGAATGGGCAATGCAGCACATAATTCCACAGGTATTGACTTGGTTACCTACTGAAGAAAGACTCGTTACATGGTTTGTTGCTTTCTCTATTTGTTGTGTCAAACATCTTGTTCAATTCGGGTCAATTTCCAATATTTTACAAATTATTATATAGACTAGTAACATTTTCCAGGGGTGTATGTGAAGTAAAATTCAAATATTCTATCATATCTCATGTCAATTCTAGTTAAATTATTGGATAATGCCTTTGCCAAAAGCATATACTGATTTGCTTCTGAATTAATGGATGACTTTCTATTTTGTTTTTCTTCCTTATTTAAATCTCTAACTTAACAATCTCTTAACAGGTTTTGGACATGATTAACAATCCACATTATTTATATCGGATGACCATACTACATGCAATTTGTCTCCTTGCCCCTGTTATGGGGCCAGAAATTACATGTTCTAAACTTCTGCCTGTGGTCATCACTGCATCGAAAGACAGGTAACTAATCCAGTTCGTAGAGCTTAATCATCTTTTGTCATAGCTTCGACAGCTGGCCTGAGAATAACTCATTACAGGGTACCGAACATCAAGTTCAATGTGGCAAAGGTGTTGCAGTCTCTTATTCCTATAGTTGACCAGTCTGTAAGTAACTAAATTAATTTTATTTTCCTGTTATTCTTGATAATCTTTGTGCGTGGTGGAAGCATTGTAACTCAATTGATATGGGGTAGCGGGAAAGAAAAAGGTCAAAGGGAAGAAGAGAATGATATTGATCAAAAAGAGGGTAATGCATGATATAAGGAATTTAGCATGAACTATATGTAATCTTTTTGGATCGATTCAACGTATCTATGGTGTTTATAACATAATTTACCAAGATGAGGCATACCACTCACTATCACATTTGGGTCACACTTGATACAAATTTGGCTTATAGGTTGTCTTTCTTTGTTGAGGTTAAAAAATGCACACCTTAGGTCAGAATTTTGTTGAATATTTATCTCAAATGCAGGTGGTAGAGAAGACAATCCGTCCCTGTTTGGTTGAGCTGAGTGAGGACCCAGATGTTGATGTCAGGTATTTTGCGAGCCAAGCGCTGCAAGCAACTACTGATCAGGTCATGATGTCCAGCTAGATTTGATTGTATCATTAGGGTTTCATTTTTCATGATTTGGAAAGTTCAGTTATTAACAAAATATGTAATCTCCTGTATGTGTGGCGTGTTAGAATCCTTGTCTATCCGCTGATTTGATGTCCCTTTGGATGCCTAAAAAAAGTTTCAAATATGATTTTGATGCCAACAGATATCTTTTTTAAAAAAAGCCCTTATGGTGCTTAACATTTCCATGCTTCATCCCCGTTTCTTCCTCCACTAATTTTATGTCATTTTTCTTGTAATTTGATCTCTTGCTTCACCATTTTTCAAAACAAATAATATTTCATATTTATTGTGTTCGGAAGCCTGTGTAATTACGGTGCAAGAAGAATAAATTCTGCCCCATTATTAGGAGTGATAAATGAATCGAACAACCCGAACAGTTAATTGTCCAAACTTAGTTTGATAATTTTAACAAATTTTAAAATTTGTTCAAACTAGTTCCAGTAGTTTCATATTTTATATAATTTTAGGCTTATTAAATAGTGTCGAACGAGCAATTAATTTTTCAAACTCGGCTTGAAAATTTTAATGAGCTAAATATGTTTGAGTTTGATTTATTTATTTAATGAACTAAGTTTGAACAAACTTTTAACAATCTGAACACGAATTGAGCTTGAGTTATTTGCTTTGTTTATCATCTTAACCTCTTATCATGAAAAATGATACTTGAGAAAAACATATATTTGATCTTGATCTATTTTTACTAAGAATATAAATAAAGCATTGTGAAAGAACTTGTACTATCTCGTTGTCCCTATAGTACGAGTAATGACATAAAAATGTTCCCCTTCAAAGACATTTAAAATTTTAAAAATATTATATGGATTAATAGGGAAGTTCAATCCCAATTCAATTAAATCTTTCAATAAATAGTTGAATTTTGACCACCCCTAGTACGAAGCCAACGCAAAATCACATCAACCATATTCAAAGGCTTTTGTTTAACAAATTATGTGATTATACAAACTTCCACTTCAAAGGCCTAATTGGGCATATAGGAAACAAGAGAGGTGAGTTGTACAAAAATATTATGTCCAAGTTAGGCCTGTAAATGGATCGGATTTGGCTCGGATCTGTCAAAATTCGAATCCGATCCGAATCCGTTTAGTCTATATCCGATTATAGATATCCGAATCCGAATCTGATGATTTCGGATATCCGATCCATTTATTTATTTATTGAGGTACAATTTTATATAATTTGATTTTTTTTTTTTTTTCATTTTGTGTTTTTTTTCATTCAAATTGAGAATACTCGGATCGGATTCTTGGGTTATCGGGTCGGATCAGATTTTTGCAGATTCAATCTATTTAATAAATGAATTAAACGGATTCGGATTATCAGATCAGATTTTTTGTAAACGGATTTGGATTATCGGATCGAATTCGGATCGGATTCGGGTTAAATCCGATCCATTGACAGCCCTAGTCCAAGTGAACTAAAAATTTATATAGGGACATGATGTAGCATTACAGAAGATAACAAAAAAGCAGGTATTTATATATGTCCAAGTGAAGTGAAGATTTATATAAACATATGATAGAAGTTATAGCACACAAAATTCTCAAAAAGGCAGCGACTGAGCTGGTTATTTACAAGGAAAAACTGTCCATCAATACTGGATTGAATGTTCAGCGAGTCATTTTTTTTTTGTTTTTTTGGTGTGTCAAATGTTGTCCATGTTAACTCTCACGATCCATGCCTCCGAAAAATGGAAGGCTCTTAATTCTCTCCGGCTTGACACAATCTGATTGGGCCCACCCGATTTTCTCGTTCACATTGTCATAGACAACCAATTGTCCTCGCAATGAGATATCTGCAAAAGGTAGGAGATGCACAAGTAGATGAAAATGAGAAACAAATCACATATTCCAGTTTGATGCTTTCTTTATCCCAAATTACTCAAAGAGTCAGTTTATAATTTCATTTTTTTAGTACGTCAGAGGCCCTAGCCAAGGTTAAGGGGAGTGTTGTATGAGGCAAGACTCGAACCCTTGATTTTTGGCCAACTAGGCTACTCCCATTTGGTTAGCCCAATTTAATTTCTTGTTAGGTTGAATAAAGCCCAAGCCAAAGGATAGGCAAAAACTAGTGGTGAACTATAACAATCATATATGAAAGAACAAGAGAAAATAAAGGATTATAAACTATTGCGGAAATCACAAGATTGAAGGAACAATACCTCCGATTATAACAGTGGAACCATCATGTACTTTGCTTCCATCAAGGATACCCAAGCACGCATTGCCTTTATTCTGCAGTAAAGGGAGCTTTCATCACATGGTGCTTTTGCAACTTACAACTTGAGATATTGAAAAGAAACCAAGTAAAAGGGCTAGAAATCCTTACATTTACGATCAAGTAACCCTCCGGCATAATACGAAGCTTTCTGGAGGCCATCCACCATTTGCTTCCAAATTGAAGGGTCAATGGTTTAAAATTTTGCTTGACATCTGAAACAGATCTGCAATCATATAGATGCACACTTTTAGACTATGGTGCTCAATTGAGAGATGGTCATATCTGAAGTGATGAGTGCCTTAAGGGCAATTATTAAGAAGCTCGAAATAGTAAAGTGCATCACGATAAAGAATGTACAACCATTTAAAGCATTGTTAACCAATGCCCTTAGCAGGCTTGGGCTTGTTAACCAAACCCTTAAAATTAATCCTGCAACAAACCCTTACCACCACCACTACCAACACTACTACCATGTAATAGTGTCACAGTTATACTGGAAACAGAGAGTTAAACAGATGACCAAAGTGATCAATTTTTACTAATAAGCAATGTCCTCAAGGGGCAGATACAGTAAACTTGTATGCACCTTCAGGCAAAATTGACATGCTACTAAAATATTTGTTCATCTTAGGGGAAGCCATGATGTGATTATGTGGCACAGCCTGAGGGTGCCATGTATCAGGGGTGGACCCATATACCTACACCCAACATTTACTATAGGCCCTGTGAAGTTATTCTTTAAGCATAAGCAATCTGGGTAGACCAATAATTTCGGGAAAAGAACACTCCAAGCAGAATAATAGTTTTATGATCACCTTCTAAGAGAAAATGATAGTAATTTAGTAAGTATTACTTCAATGAAATTATTCCCACTTGAAACTAATTCCAGATACAGACTAGACAACCACATTTCCATTTTTATTTCCGGGTACCTTATTGGGAATTTAGCTCGCCAACAAATGGGCAACGTAGTGTCGGATGCATCCTGGATGAGGCCGTCACCAGAAACATCATTAAGCTGCAAATCAATGGATATCAGAAATTCAGTAGAACTGGTGAAAGTACTGTAAAAGAAGATATTCATGCTTAAATGTGTAAAATACTTACGGAGGCAACCAAATCAGAATATGCTTGATTTGTGAAGTATGTATAAGAACTGCCGCTATCAAAAATTACCCGTGCTAGTCCATCAGACTGACCACCTAAACTGAGTTTTTTATTTCCATAACTCATTTTGACGACCTCTGTCTGATAAAAGTTCCTGAACCAAAAACAACAAAAAATAAAATAAACAAATTAAAAATGCTTCAGAATTGAGTTCCACAAGTGCGCACAAATGCAAGATAAGGAAGTATGTGTATCAAAAAAGTTAATGCTCAGTTGGTGGTGTTAAGTCACCAATTATTCTAAAAGTGGGAAATACATCAAGCAGGAGTAAAAGAAAGGGACTGTTTGTATGTAGTTTTCCCATCAGAGTTCAGAAAACAACCTCATGTAAAGCAAACAAACACTCTTTTCCTTCCTACTCAACCAAACAAACAAAGCAAAGTGTCTTTCTTTCCTTTCCCATATTAACTTTTTCCATCCCTTCAGCTTTCCTTTTAATTTTCCATCACTACTACCAAATGGAGCGAAAGATATAATAATAAAGCATTACAAAAAGACGATGAAAGTGAACCAAATAAGGAGAAATCAAGGATAAGAACAAATGCAATGGTAAAATAATTTGTCCCAAAAATAATTGTAGAAGTGTTTCAACAAAATAGATTATGTTTGCTAGAAACGAAAAATTGAGAAATTTTATCTCCTGACTATAGCACAAGGGAAGAGCTGCTAGATTGGAATTAAAATAACTACATACACTATGTTTCTTGCTGTTAAATGAAAACCTTGGAAACAACTGTGTCCAGTATTTGAGAAATTTCCACCGAAATTATCTGAAGCCTTTGACCGAGTAAATAAATAATGTATTTTTGTAAAAGAAAAATTCAAACTTTTCACAAATTAAAATATCTCTATTAGTTCTTGTCAATATGGTCTTCAAAATCATTAAATTAAAAAATGTAGATGATTTTTTAATGTTGTTTGGAATAGTAAATTAGACAAACAATTTGGGACGAAAGGAGTAATATCTTCTAAGCATTATACATATTAAGATTTTTCTTCCAATCTAACCCCTCTACATACAAATGTCTTGCAATTAAAGATTTGCCAATAAGCTATGCCAAAAAATAGGTTTAAAAAAAGAAAAAGAATGCTGATTCTGAGAGTTTTACACTCACGTGGAAGGGCTGTAAAGCATGGGGATCCATGTCATTTGCCAGTAGGGGACAAAGTCATCACCCAAGAACATATATCCACCACCTCCTGAATCAGTGGTGAGACAATGGCCTACAACATTGTTAATGATTCCCTGACTTGCCAATTGAGAAGGTAAGCTAACTTTAGCCCTGCTAAGCCCTAGAATTCCATCCGTCATTGCCAATGAATTTAGGAGTAAGCCTTGCTGATCATATGCACACCTGACAGATATAAATTCAATATCAACGTGTTAATTGGATAAGTAACAAAATCCTGATCATGTGCACACCTGACAGATATAAATTCAATATCAATGTGTTAATTGGATAAGTAACAAAATCCACAAAGGAACTAATATTTTGAGAGAGAGAGAGACCCAAAAACGACACTCGACTGGGTAACTGATCCATTGGCAACTGTTAGATGGAGCTCATCCCTTGTAAGAACCCCAATGGAGGAGCTTTGATCTGCATATTCTATTTCATAATCACACTGCAAACATGTTTGACAATATGTCTTCTGATTTCTCTGAACTTCAAAACACAACGAGTCCTTGGAAGGTATGATTTGGCCTTTCGTGGGTTTGTACAAAGGGTGCGCTCCCTGGCCAAAAAAAAAAAAAAAAAAATGCCCAAAAAAAAAAAAAAAAATCTTATTTCAAGTGACCTTTCCTTGAATAAATTTATAAAAGAAGAAGAAGAAGTCAGATTTCAATCTTATTATATAATTAGTTTGGCGTATTCTCCATGATGGAGAGATTTTTATCTTTATTTTATTGGTCCATTCCCCCTCATCTCAACCTTTGAGCTTTGTCAAGTTAGGGGCAAACGAATTGAGAGAGAGAGAGAGAGAGAGACTATGGCTCCGTTTGTTTTGACGTAAAATGTTTTTGCCAAAAATATTTTACTCATTTTCCGTTGTTTCATTGAACAAAAAACAAGTAAAATATGTTTGCATCATTTTCTAAAAAATGACTTTACCTTTAAAAATTCTGTAAGTAAATTTTTACAAAATTGACTCACTCACTATCTTTTAGTTTTTAACACATTTAGCCTTTTCAAATAAGTATCTTAGCTCATTAAAAAATCATAAATGACACTTTATGAATCAAAATTTATTTTTTGGGTAATAAAATATTTTTGTTTTAAGTGTCAACCAAATACCAAAAAACAAAAACAAAATTTTTTTTTTTCTCTATAAAATCAATTTACAAGAAAAATATTTTTTTGCGTAAAATATTTTACGTCGAAACAAACGGAGCCTATGAGTCTTACATAAACTCTTGACAGACTGAAAAAACACAAGAGCTTGTTGCAACCATGCCTTACCTTAGCACAACTAGAGCATGGAGCATCACATTGGATCCATGTTAAGTCACTCCCAGTATCCACATCAAGAAAATAATGTTTTGGAGGACTCCCAACAAGCATATGTGTGTAATACAATCTGTACAAAAGATGAAATATGATGTCAAAAGCATTTGAAAATGATAGTTAAGATAGTGACGGACTGGTTTGTGCTTTTGCAATAACAATTTCTATATGATTTGGAAGGGCATATCATGGTTCTACACAGCCACAATAACAGTTTTTAAATTGAGCATCACATTGTGAATTAAACTACTCCTCTTTTTTTCTTTTTCTTTTTTTCAAAATGTGAATTGTAAATATTTTTGGTTATAATTTCTAAAATAATATATATATGTACAATCAATTACATATTCAAGATATATCAGGAATACAACAACTTTAGATACAAAATCAATGAAAAACTTGTTCTAAATGATGTTGAACATATGGTGTGTAATAGGTAAGATGCTTGCCTTGAGATCTATGATCGCATTATTGATTATGATAAATGTACCTTATATCAAAAAGACACTATTTACAAGTATAAATCTATACTCATATCAAAAAGAGACAAATTAAAAACAAAAAATTGGAAACAAACTCAAAAACTCCGAAAATCTTCAATATGACAACTGGTCCTTGTTTCCAGTTTAACACTGTCCTAGTATAACAGTAGTGGTCATGTTGTAAAACCAATTACTAATTCAGGCAGTGAATTGTGAGAAATGTTCTGGATAACTGAATTTAAGAAACTATTATTATCTAATTTTGTTACTACAAAAGTCACTTTCCACAATCATTAAAATAGTCTAGGTCACCTGCGAAAGAAGGAACAAACGTTATTTAAACAAACCATAATCATATTACCATAATGAACTGTCCTTGACTTTATATCTGAACACTTGTCTGGCCATAGACTGCCCCATTAATTATCACCACATTAACATGCATTAATACATCCATGTTGGGTATGTTGGGTTCATAAAAGACAAAACTCCAATTAAATTTTTTTTCCAATAACACATGTTCCGTATCAACTCTCCCGGAAAATTTAGTTGTTCAGGTCATGTCTGGAGGATGGCTTATTTTCAAGGCCTAAAATTTCGTTAAAATCATTGGATCACCTACTCCAACTACATGCTTTCAGTTTTCATATACTCACTAATACATCACATTTTCATTTTACCTCATGAGCCCTTTTTCTTTTGCAGTGTCAAAATTTAAAAAATAAACAAAAAGAGGAAGAAAGAAGCCAAAGCAACACAATTTGGTGCCTAGACAATACATATATACAATCAAATTGTGCACAAACAGATCATAAAATAGAAATTATGATTTGCTAAAAATTATCTGCTTGCACAAATAAAATATAAATAAAAATTATCTGTTTGCACAGACAAAATATAAAAATAAAAATAAATTAGTTTGACTTAATACCCATAACAGCAATCCTATGTACCAATAAAGATCAATACTGAATTGATGAATAAATCAACAATGAAAAACACACATACCCATCTGGATAAATATTTCCCCTAACAGGTAAATTAGCAGTTGAACCGATCTTCAACGAGCTCGAAACAAATTTAGAGTTCGATTTGTGTCTCATTCCATCATCAATCTGTGACACAGAAACCGCCGAATTCTTCCTCACAAACTTCCCCAATTTAAGCTCAATATCTCTCTGTGACATCTCTCGAATACCCAATTTAGGATACAAAGGAAAGATAAAGGAAGTGGGTTTTTCGCGATCTTCATTAGAACTGCTTAATTCTTCATAAAGGGTAGATGGAGAAGAATAACGCCACAAAATTAGAGCGATTAGGAAGATACCCAGAAGACTCAATCGAATTCTTCTAGTACCAAAGAGGGATCTTCTGGGTGAGAATTGAGGAAGTTGAGGGTTTGGTGGTGATTGAATAGGAAGTAGTGGTGGTGGTGGTGGTGGTGGGGATTGGTGGTGGGGTTGTTGAGATTGAGATTGAGATTGGGGTTGGGGTTGAGGTGAATCATCAGAGAGAGTGAAAGCTGTTATGGTTTTGCCAAGAGAAGGGTTATCAGCAGGAGGGAGTGTGATTATGACAAACCCTTTCAATTGGGGAGATTGTTGGCCAGACTCCATTTTTCTCACTCTCCCTCTCTAAAAGTCTCTCAATTTTGGATCAGATGAGAGAGAGAATGGAGAAGATGAGGAATGAATAGATGGATGAGTGCTCTCTTCCTCTGTACTCTTAGTTCTCCATAGTCAATGACTGGTTGGAAGACTTTCTTTCCCCCTCTCTCCTCTCTCTCTCTCTCTCTCTCTCTCAAAGTTTCCCTCTCTTTCTTCTCTGGTCAACTAAACTAAAGGGTCAGGTAAGCTTTGTTTGGACAATTCGTTGAGTATTTTATTTCAAAACGGAATCCGTAGTGAGCCCCCACAAACTCAACAACACGATCCAATCCAATTAAAGACCGGACAGAAGCCATGCCCAATTATAAAATACTAGTGTCATGATCTGTTGTGACACACTCAACCAGGAAAATAATTATGTACAGTTTTGACTAAATATAAGATCTCATTTGACAATATTATTTTTTAGTTAAAAAATTATTAAAAAAATTAATAATTTATACTAAAAAATTATAAAAATTTTTTCTCACTATTTTTTGCATATTTTTTCATAAAAAATTAAAAAATCATTCTAAATATTTTAATTTTTTTAACACTATTTTAATTAAAAAATTTAAAAATTATTAAAAAAATTTATTTCCAAACCAGGCGATAGCCCCATGAGCCCGTAAAGGCAATGTGAACGGGAGAGAATACGTTTCGACGCCAAGTGTTGTTGGGAGTGAAAATGCGAGGAACTTTCCAAATTGGATAATTGCCAAGTAAGAGTGATCCTCTGTGCTCGCGATACTCGCCTTACGTGTCCAACATCTGTGAAATGTATGGTTTTTATGAAATTTGGTTTAATTTTTGAAAATTATTTTTTAATTTTAATAGTTTTTATAATGTTTTAGTTATTTTTAAACAATTTTAAAATGTACCTAATCTAAAAATTTAAAAATAATTTACTAAATATAAAAACATGAAAATACCGTTTTTTTTTGTTGTATTTATTGTTTTTTTTTTTCTTGACAAGCACTATTAGGATGAAAATGATGAATAATGAAGAAAATGGAAAAAAAAATAAAAATTTTGAGTTTGCTTACCATAAAAGTAGTGGGAGTTAAAAAAAAATAAAAAATTATAAAGGTAAGGCTTTGTTGTTTGGAAGAAATTATAAAAGTTAAAAAAATTAAAAAATTATTAAAAAAATTAAAAAGTCCATACTATTTGGAAAAAGTTTAGAGAGCAAAATTATTATTTTGTCTTTTGAATTTAACTATCTGAAAGTGAAAAGGTTAAAATTTAAAAAGTCAACAAGGGTATAATAGTTATTTTGATTTTATTACAATATTTTATTGTAAATATTTTTGTAAAAAGTTTAAAAATTAATTTGAAATGTACTATATAAGTGCACTTTTTGACTTTTTAACTAAAAAAATAGAAAAAATATAACAACTCGAAAATTTAAATTATCCCTTAAATTTTATACTAGCGATATGTGATAATATATTATTAAATAAATAATAATAAACACATAATCTAATTTGGCATTGGAATAACAAATATGAGATTAATTAGGGATTATATTATATTTTTCTATATATTTTTATTAGACTAAAATATATTAAAATATATTATATTTTTCTATATATTTTTATTAGACTAAAATATATTAAAAATACATCATTTTCTATGCGTGCGTCCCAAGCCCTCTTGCTCCGCACGCCACCTTCATCAATCATCAAAAGCATCCACATCTTCCAAACTCACTTATTTTCGCTCTCTACTCTCTAGTGTCTTTTTATATATAAAATTTTGAGTTTAGAGTATTTAGTAAGTCGCAGTGAACGAAAGGTAAAAATTATAATTATTTTTAAAATGAGTTATATTATACATGGAGTTATTATGATATATTTTACGTATGTTTTGAATTACTATAATCTATTTTACGTAAATTGTGTTTTAATTATATTATTTATTTTCTGAATCATATTTTCTTAAAATGAAACCCATGGATATGTTTGTTTAAATTTTAGAAATTATTTGACTATGATTATATAAATATTTAATTTTGGTAATTATCACCACGAGAGTCTCATATCTTGAGAGACTTTAATAACCATTAGCCTTCTGATTAATCACTTTGTGACCCTATATCTGTTATGGATCCACTGACACTTTGATTTTTGGTGTGGAACAAAGTGTTGTACGGAGTTAGGTGCCACACTATTGTGGGACCTACCTCTTGAGTCCATACATTTGTTCTGCTCTGTACCGTGGCGATACTTATTTTATTTATATGATTTCTGTATCATATGTCAAATGATCTCCGTATTATATACTCTGTATTTTAATATCAAACTTTGTTTAGCCAATAATTATCCATGGTTAATTTTAAGCCCTCATACTCTTAGTATAATATTTCTTACTCTACCATGTGCTTATAACTGTTTACCAATTTTTAGGAAACAATGCAATTTAGAAATAATTTTTGGAGAGTCTTAGATGCGAGACTGCGGAATAGACACACACAACACTTCTATAGTATTTATAATTATATTAGTCATATGTAAATATTGGTCTTTTTGATCAATAAATTTTGTTATAAAAAATAGAAACTCCAATCATTATTTTGGTACCCTTACTTAAATATTTTTTCCGCTTGCGTTTAATAATTTGTTTAAGAATTGGCCGGAGGTAATTTCAATTACTGGCCATCACGATATTTAACCTTTGTGTACGGGAGCGGGTCGTGACAGAAAAAAAGAAGAAGATGTATTTAAGATAACTTTTTGACTTTTTACAAAAAGATATGTAATAAACTATTGTAGTAAAATCAAAATGACCATTCTACCACTGGATAAGTGGAAAAGAAAGTAAAATCATTCGGCTTTTCCTTTTCCTTTCTTGTCCTTTTCCTGACTAAGTTTGTCGGCAATTAATCCTGTAAGAGAATCCCAAAAATCTCCAAGGTTGGGATCATCATCTGGTTCTTGAGCTTCACCAGCAAGGACGTTGAACTCATTATCGTCGGCATATGGGTCAGGTTGTCATTCTTCTTCATGACTGGCACCTGACTTCATGCTGATGTCATCACGACTGAATGATTGGAGGAATTGCTCCTTCATGTAATCCATACTTTTGATTACCAATTCTGATTCTGAGAGAGTTGGAAACTTTTGCCTTAATTCATTTTGGAGCTACCTCTTGAGTCCATACATTTGTTTTGTTCTGTACCGTGGCGATACTTATTTTATTTATATGATTTCTGTATCATATGTCAAATGATCTCCGTATTATATACTCTGTATTTTAATATCAAACTTTGTTTAGCCAATAATTATCCATGGTTAATTTTATGCCCTCATACTCTTAGTATAATATTTCTTACTCTACCATGTGCTTATAACTGTTTACCAATTTTTAGGAAACAATGCAATTTAAAAATAATTTTTGGAGAGTCTTAGACGCGAGACTGCGGAATAGACACACACACAACACTTTTATAGTATTTATAATTATATTATTCATATGTAAATATCGGTCTTTTTTATCAATAAATTTTGTTATAAAAAATAGAAACTCCAATCATTATTTTGGTACGCTTACTTAAATATTTTTTCCGCTCGCGTTTAATAATTTGTTTAAGAATTGGCCGGAGGTAATTTCAATTACTGGCCATCACGATATTTAACCTTTAGGTACGGGAGCGGGTCGTGATAGAAAAAAAGAAGAAGATGTATTTAAGATAACTTTTTGACTTTTTACAAAAAGATATGTAATAAACTATTGTAGTAAAATCAAAATGACCATTCTACCCTTGTTAACTTTTTAACTTTTATCTTTTGGACTTTTAGATAGTTGAATTCCAAGGACAAAATAATTCCCCACAAACTTTCCCCAAATAATATGGATTTTTGACTTTTTAAATAATTTTTTGATTTTTTAATTTTTGTAGGTTATCCTAAACTCTTGTATAACTCATAATAGCACGCTAACTAAAAAATACAAGAAAATTTAAATTTATTATAAAAATACTTACTTATAATAAGAATTTCTATTTTCTTGAAAAAAATTCATCCAAATCAAATTCATATAAGAAAATCTATTTTCTTTTCCTTCACTGTACTGTCTACCATTTTAACTTGCTATCATTTATTTCTTTTTTAATCAAATGGAGACAGAACATTGGGTATACACCATGTATAAAAGTTTTATAACACCAAGAATTTACTTGTTACTTAAAGTCGTTAGGATTTAAAATTTTAAAAGAACTTTTTGTACTTATTTTCTATATTTAGTGATGTGTTAGTAAGATAATTGGGTGATGATTAAAGAATAAATGTGAGAGAGAGAGAGAGAAAGAGAGAGTTCACTTGAATATTTTAATAGAGTACCACATCATTAGGTCTAAAAAGTGGGTTTAATTTTTTGACTTGAATAACAATACTCAATTTTAAAAGGATAAGAATAAAATTTAGGGGCACTAATGAGTAGGTTCTATTGAGCAGACTTATTTACGAGAAATTCTATTTCCACACACCTAATTAGCTTAGAGCACATATTTTCTCAATACACACACCTATTCATTTGATTATCAATTAATTTTCTCAATCCACACAATTAAAATTACAATTACACTATTCACTCATAACCATTGTACACACCATTAACCCCCTTTCCATAACTTTTGATTGACCCTACTTCCACATTGACTCACCCACGTCCTTGAAAACTTTGGTCTGAAGCAAAATTTCCTCTATTAAAGACTTACATAAAAGACCTCCATTGAACATTCATTGAAGACCACTGTAAATCTTCAAAAATAGTGTTGAAGGTAAGAAATCTTTCTATTTTCTTATTACATTTATCATTTTGTTACTACATTTATCATTTTCAGATCTATGTGTACTCCATTGACAAAAAACCTTTGATTTCAGTCTTGTGAGTAATGGTTTGAGGCTTTTGGCAAACAAAAGAGTGAATTCGGAACATAACCTTCAAATAAATTGTATTATTTCGACAAATTACTTCCGAAAAAAATAAAATCTCGATTATTAGTTTCCGAAGTTGATGAATTTCTTCAGTTCTATAGTTTTGAAATGATACCATGTTTTCGACAGTTTAGTTCTTAAAATTGTATGTTGTTTCGACACTGAAGTTTCGAATGAAATTTTTTTTTTTTGGTTCCTTTTATTTAATGAAGAAAATCAACACTGGTGGTCCAATTAAAAACCAAA